GAGAGAGAGAGAGAGAGAGAGAGAGAGAGAGAGAGAGAGAGAGAGAGAGAGAGAGAGAGAGAGACAACGGAGAGGAGGCTGGGTGAGCAAAAAACTGAAAAAGCCGATTGAATTGAACAAAAGAGAAAAGAATGGCAGACTTCCTGTCCACTGATACCACAATGTACACAACTGCATGGCAGCACAACAAATAGAAATAGTAAATACATCTACTTGGAAACTTGAGCTGCTGCCCTGAGCTCCGCCTCGACCCCTGGTCGCAGCGTTGAGTTGGAAGCAAGTGTCCGAAATAGGGTTTGCGCGATAATCTTGATATCCTGATCCTCTGATTGGGTGAGCTTTACGAGTCGGCTGACGATCCCATGAACGCCGGCAAGTCTGGCTTGGTTATCTGAATGATCTTTTCCGAGGAGCATTCCGAAGGCCATGAGCGCTCGCACCTCGACCTCTCGACTGGATGATCGGAGCAGCAGTGCCGCCAGTTTCTCGATAGCCCCCTCTCTCGCGAGGTCCAAATGATATCTCTTCTCTGTGGCAAGTGCACAGATTACATCCGCGATCGATGCTTCCAGCCTCTCGTCTCCTGAATGACCCGCCCAGCTGATCGCCGAGAGGATCTCGTGGATTCCTCCTGCCCTGATCACCTCGCCCACTCCTTCTGGCACCTGACATATCTGACCTATTGTGCATACAGCATTGATCTTCGTCGGGACATCAAGATCATGATTCGCCATATCCAGCAAGGAGAGAATGAGGCGGTTGCAGCCGGACGACGAGATAGCCTGGCGTAAGAGCGATTCGTGGGTGCCCATTACGGCCGTGAGTGCGGCACAGCTGTTCCGGCGCACGTGTGTCCCCTTGCCACCGGCATTGACGATCAAGTCACTCAGCTTTGGAATCGCTTCGCCCAGCAGCTCCGTAGACGCTCCACACTCACTCGCAACAGCCGCAATCGAAGCTGCTGCCTTCGCGACCGCCACATCATTGCCGGCGTCCAGCAGTTTGATGGCTGCTCTTATCACCGCGATCAATCTCTCGCCCGCGGTGTCAGACGCATGGCCACCACCCCTTGTTGCCATCGAGATTCAAGAGGTAACGGACCTGCAGAGCGACCGTCGAGCCCGCAGTGATCGTGGACTCAGTTCTTAAAAAATAGGACTGCACTGTGGCCCTGCAATGTCAGTGTCAGGATCAGAAAGTCCAGCGATGTCGGTGTCAGAACCAGAAAGTCCTCTTCTGCCAAAGGTGCTCTCTTTTCCTTTTCTTGTTTTCATTGGTTCTTTTTAATTGTCATTGTTGTCAACAAAAAAGGAGAAACGTACTTACCTTTCGTTTCCCCC